AAAATATCATTTAAAAAATTTTACAAATAGCCATTACTATATCAACCAATGATTAAAATGATCTTTAAAATATCGGCTTCAATCGTTTTTAATAATGATTAATAAATCTAAAATATCGTTCAACATCTTTAATACCAATATTTTAATTTTATAATTATCATTCGATATCATGCTAAACATATTTATTATATCGGTATAATATCGTATAATCTAAACAAAAATTATTTATTAATTAGTCTGTAAAATATTGGCTAACAATTAATCTAACCACCAAACTATCGTTAAAAAATCTTATCAAAATCTTTCATATATCTTTTAAATGATATACTAATTATCGTAATGATATTTGAGAATAATTTTAGATAAAATTAACCGATATGCAACATATTTGCCTAAAATCTTCAGGCTATTGGCTTGTTTTTTTTACTATCAAATCTGTTATAAGCCATCATACTATCAGCCTGCTATCATCTAGGCCGATTATTTGAAGATATAAAGATGTTATTTTTAATTTCGACCAGTGTAGCTAAATCTAATGAAGTGAACCATGATAATCTCTTCAAGGTATCTAAAAGTTCATCAACTCGTAGCAATGGATAATTATCTTTAATAATTATAGCATTCAACTTCTTATAATCAACACAAAATCATATTTTTCGATTCTTTTGTTTTACTAACACAACTGGTGATGCCTATGGGCTAGTAGATGATTGAATGATCTGCTCATCCAACATACTATTAATTTCCTCTTTTAAAAATTGTTTTTTTGTGGGAGGGTATTGATATGATTGTTAATGAATTGGCTATATGTCTTGAGTAAGAATACAAATACTAAAATATATCAGTCTGGCTCTACTTTGAAATATCTTAAGCACAGAGATTAGGATTTTCTGTAAATAATTTTAACAATTGCTTTCTTTGATCATCCTCAACTTCCCTCCTCTATATTATATTTAACATTAGAGCAGCTTTCTTTTTCATAGTAATAATTGAACAAATCAGAGATAGGCTGATCTTCCTCTTCTCGCATAGCAATAAGACCTGCTACAGGCCCTATATTATACAAAACTATCTTCTTATCTTCATTACTATCTTCTTCTTCCATCGTACTTTTCTATTCCAAACCTAACTTATCATGTATTTTTTTAAGGTCTTTTTTTTCACTAAACATTGTTATCGCATAAAGTTGTTCTTCCAACTCTTCTTTTTCAAAATCGTCCTTTATTTCTTCCTCAGCTTCATCATCCTCATCTTTAACATCCCTTACTGTTACAACCCGTTCTTTAGCTAATGGCATTTTAGCTAATTTTCGATATTCTACAGGAACAACAATTTCTTTGTTTTTTTATATTAAAGTCATTTCAGATTTATTTCAATTGATAGTCATATTTACTTTGAACAGCCAGTTATTTCCCACAATAACATAATATGAAAATCAGAAATTTCTCCAATTGCACATTTACTTTCTCTGTGAAAATTGACTATATTTACTACTGATGGTGTTTAATCCTTATCCCAAGATTGTTTAATAAATGAGAAGTAACAACACTTCCAGAAGAACCACTATCGATGATTAGCAGAATTATTCAATCATAAACCTTAGTATTACAATACAATGTTGTTAATTTCAAGCTAGGTTAGATGTTGATAT